AAAAAAAAAAAAAAAAAAAGTGAGCAGAAATAATCATTTAATGTTATTAAAATTAAGCGAGAATTTAACCCTAAGAATTTCTTACATTCGGATTCGGTGGATAGTAATTAAAATGAAATTTAGTGAGGTGTATATATATAAGTATAACTCTAGCTATACTTGAGGACATGTATAATTATATGTTTCAGCTAATTATTGTATGTATACGGACGAAAATCAGGTGATGATGAGCAATGCGAAGGCATATTAATGCGTGTGATTTGTGAGCATGATGATGTATGTAGGAACTAGGAAGCATAAGAATGAATTGTTCAAGTATGTAGGACCCTTTGCAATTCTCTCTGCCCATGACTGAATAGAAGGATCACAGCTAATCATGAGTCAAACTTAACTATTCCTAGTCCTAGGGAACACTTGGGGACGTACTCATCAAAGTTTTAAGTCTTGTACAAATCAGAATTACTACTTCATTGTTCTTACACGAGCAAATTTTGTGAAGCATTTAAGGTTGAAGATTCCCACCCTTTATACAGCTTAACAATATCTTTTGATTTTTGTCTAAGAATTTACCTAATATGACATTGATGGATTTATTACTACTTCATTGTTCTTACACGAGCAAATTTTGTGAAGCATTTAAAGTTGAAGATTCCCACCCTTTATAGAGCTTAACAATATCTTTTGATTTTTGTCTAAGAATTTACCTAATATGACATCGATGGATTTATCTATATTTAGCAAAACCAAACTACTTTTCCACCAGATATAACTTTTTTCTTATAAAGCTTTCCTATATTTTAATTTGATCAAAAGCACTAGGCTATCATAGATTTTGTATACGTTTCAATATGGTACTTTAATTGTAGGTTAAGCCAATAAATTTGTCTCGTGGTCAATCCTGGGATGCTCTTTAGTCTTTACGTGCTACACACATAAATTTTAAGTGGATGAACATGTGCATACTTATTAATAAGTGTGCATGCATTTGGTTAAATTAAAGAACGTAAGGTCAAAATCACTACAACATTTTTATAAAATAATGTCAACCATGCATTTAGTGTTATCCTCAACATATATATCCTTTATAGAACATGAATTAATTTCTACATTAGACACTAAATCAATGTACAAAACAATTGTTATTGGAATCCAGGTTTGTCTGGGACCTTCTCAGTCAGGTCAGCATACAAAGAGCTACAAACATTGAGGGTAGATTGCTCACAGATTGAAAAGTTTAGTCAAATTTGAGATTTGCCTATACCTTCTAAGGCCGTTATTTTTCTATGGAGACTTTTTCATAATGCATTACTTACTGCTAGTAACCTCTTGAGGAGGAACATAGCATTCAAAGACATCTCTTGCCCTTTCTGTCATACTCAACCTGAGTCAATCTCTCATATCCTCTTAACCTGCAACGTATCACATGCTGTATGGAATGAGTGTTTTCTTTGGTTGAATACAACAACAATTCTCTCAAAAGATCTTGTAATGCATCTCAATTTTATCCCAACGTACAGTTCTTGACTCAAAAGAAAAAACACAAAAATGGAGGGTCATATGGTGTGCTATTGCTTGGAATATTTGGAATCAGAGAAATGTATGTGTATTCAGGCATAATCAGTTTGTTCAGCAAAAATTAATGAAGGAAATCATCCTCACAGCTTGGAAGTGGTTGAGTGTAAAACAAAATAATTTTCATATCTCTTTCTACTTATGGTCAATCAATCCTAAAAAAGTACTTGACTGGTGTTCACTAGTACAAAAGAGGTGTACTACGTCGGACATTTTCAGCTTTTAACGTCAGAAAACATACCGACGTAAAAGCGGGAGACGTAAATTTTACGTCGGATTCGCAAAACCGACGTAAATTTACGTCGGACATTACGACATCCGACGTAAAAAAGTAGGAAAAAAAATATAAAAAAAAACATAAAAGTGCCAGCAGAACGGGTCGTTTTGCTTGTAGAACAGGACGTCCTGCTTGAAGAACAGGCCGTTCTGCTTGAAGAACGGGCCGTTCTGCTTGAAGAACGGGCCGTGCTGCTTGAAGAACGGGTTGTTCTGCTTGAAGAACGGGCAGAACGGGCCATTTTGCTTGCAGAACAGGCCGTTCTGCTTCCAGAACAAGCCGTTCAGCTTCGTATAACAACTTAAAAGAAAACGCCCACTACCTATACAAATAGAACAACCAAAAAATCAAATAAAACAGATAGCCAGAGTAGCAATGCGAAGTAGAAAAGTGTTAAAGGAAACCTTGATTCATACCTGAGGAACAGCAACAATGTGCAAATGAGTAACAAAGGGTTCATCCCTCTGCAAAAGACAAAAAAAACGATTCAGTAACAAAGGAGAGGGAGAGGGTTTAGAGAGAAAAAAATGAAAAGTAAGGAAGAGTGAATGCGCGCGGTGTGCCTCGCGCTCTCTTATTCAAATTTGCGTCCTTTTTTACGTCGGACCCTACTAGGTCCGACGTAAAAAAGTTCGCAAAAATTACAAAAATGCCACCGCATTTTTTTTACGTCGGATTTAAGTATTTCTGACGTAAAAGAGGTGACGTAATATGTTAATTTTCCACTAGTGGTTGATGGGTCACCCTTAGAAGGATTATGTACTTCGTGGTGCTGGGTTATTTTATATACCTAAATCGTTATTTGTTTTTTAGAATCCCGGGTTAAAATATGATTTGATACCACAAACTCAAATTAGTTTTAGCCAAAGATATTTAACATTCTATTTATCTTATATATATGGGTTTTGGTACCCCTTGTACCTCTATATATAAATACAAATATTTGTTGGCTGATAAAAAAAAATTGGTTAGTGCAAACAATATTGAATTTTTTTTGAATCTCATTCTGTAGTCTAAGCTACCAATAAAATTGAAACTCTAGCATAAAATCCGCATTACACATAAATCAACATAAATGCTTGTAATATAATCACCATGTACTATGAGAAAATATTATATATAGTGACATATTAAAAATATAATATATATAGATATAAATTCATTTGATATATAATTACACATAATTTTAGTGTTAATTTTGAATAAAATAACAATATATATTATGTATTATTGTAAGTATCTATTAACACTTTTTAACAATATATTAACATATATTATATTTATAATAATGTTGATAAAAGTAAATTTTTATGATAAATATTGTGTTATTATAAAATCAGTGTTATTATATGATAATATTTTGTGGTGATGTAACAATA